ACCAACATCCAGCACAATTTTATCTTTGAAAAGGTGCCTATTTTGATAAATTGACGAACGATACGAAAGTGTTCTCACTTCGTCCTTAAGCATTTCCTCGTGTATTCCTGAAGGTACGAGAAAAAAACAATTAAAAAGAAGGTGCGTGAATCACCGGTGGAAGGATTGGCAAATTTACCAAAATGGGCATAGGAATCGAAGTAATAGTCTTTGCTCGTCATCTCTGAACTTTCTTTTGGAACATCTCGCGTCTCCTCAGTTTCGGCCATTTTTTTTTTTAGGGACTTGCGTATGTACTTGAAATTTCTCGCAATGCATGTGATATTTACGATTATCGTTGCCAGTCCCGTGATGTCATTGTTACCAAAATGATTACCTTCCAAATTTCATATCGATTATAGATATGGGTATATATATATAGGTACAACGACTATTTGATTTCATGAGCGATTCAATTATTCAGAAATTATGGAGCGATTTAATATTCCTCAGAATACTCAGGAAGAAAATTTCTCTTTCCTTGAATACTCGGGTGGTGACACGCAAGCGTCGCAATATGATTACAACGATTTTTCCATTGATTCCACTGTGAATTCACAGCAAACAAATAGTTTGATTGACGGATCACAATCCCAGTTTGTCGAACCCGATTTGACAGGCGTTGGTGTTGACGATATTGATCCCTTTCAAGACTTGACCACCCATGAAAAAGAATTACCTGAACATGCTTGCGGGTATTTTTTGTTTGTTTCATTCTTGCTTTTTTCCGCGTAAGAATAGTTCCTTGTTCATTCACCAACTTTACTTCGATTCCTAAATAGGTACTGCGGAATACATGCAGTGAACTCGGTAGCTAGATGTGTAACTTGCAATAAGTGGTTTTGTAATTCTCGGGGTAACACCTCCGGTTCTCATGTTATTAATCACCTTGTGCGTGCCAAACACCGAGAGATTGCTTTGCATCCTGATTCTCCGCTGGGAGAGACGACGCTTGAATGTTACAACTGCGGTTGTAGAAATGTTTTCTTGCTGGGATTCATCCCCGCAAAAAGTGATACTGTTGTTGTTTTGCTTTGCAGGTACTTTTTATGTTCCACTTCGTTTTTACAGGGGGCAATTAAATTACTAAGTTGTTTAAACAATATCGTGCAGACTGCCATGTGCCTCTACGCCAAGCAGCAAGGATATGAATTGGGACACATCGCAATGGCTTCCTCTTATCGATGATCGGTGTTTTCTACCGTGGCTTGTGAAAGTTCCCAGCGAACAGGAGCAACTTCGTGCGAGACAAATTTCTGCGCATCAAATAAGCAAACTTGAGGAATTGTGGAAGGACAATGCAGAGGCGACACTCGAAGATTTAGAAAAGCCTGGAATCGATGACGATCCACAGGCCGTTTTGTTAAGGTAGGTTTGCTTGTTGATCATTGGGTATGATTATTCCAATGCTCACTGAATGATGAATCATTCTCTAGATATGAAGATGCATATCAATATCAGAATATTTTTGGACCGTTGGTTAAAATGGAGGCCGATTATGATAAAAAATTAAAGGAATCTCAGACACAGGATGACATTGTTGTTCGTTGGGATATTGGATTGAATCAAAAACGCGTCGCATGGTTCTATCTACCAAAGCTTGAGTCCGGGGGTGTGTAACGGATTTCTGGTTAAACTATAAATTATCATGGAATGATTGACATTTTTTTTTTTTTTTGTGTGTTCTAGAGGTACGTCTGGCTGTTGGCGACGAGTTAAGGCTGCGATATCGGGGTGAATTACACCAATCGTGGGAGTGCGTTGGACACGTCATTAAAATACCTAATAGTGAGTAACAATTGTTAGATCTCAATTCAATATTCATCCTTGAATGTGTTGATCATTTTTATTAAAATCGTGATATTATGAATCACCAGATGTTAGTGATGAAGTTGGCTTGGAATTGCGCCGCAATGATAACACACCAACCGAGTGTACACACAATTTTTCGGTAGATTTTGTATGGAAATCTACTAGTTTTGACAGAATGCAAGCGGCGATGAAAACTTTTGCTGTGGATGAAACTTCTGTGAGTGGCTACATTTATCATAAGCTCCTGGGTCACGAGGTAGAGCCGCAAGTTCTTAAAACTCAAATGCCGAAAAGGTTTGTGTTTTACCGTGCTATTATTTAGCAATGGATTATAAAAAACGTTATTCTAACGTGATGTGTATCAACCAATATGGATTAGGTTTTCTGCTCCACATTTGCCAGAATTAAATCATTCACAGGTTTATGCTGTGAAAAGTGTCTTACAAAAGCCTCTTAGTCTGATCCAAGGTCCGCCTGGTACAGGGAAAACTGTAACCTCGGCGACGATTGTTTATCATCTTGCAAAGATGAATCCTGGTCAAGTGTTAGTTTGTGCACCATCTAATGTTGCTGTCGATCAATTAACGGAAAAGATCCACGCAACTGGACTGAAAGTTGTTCGTCTCACTGCAAAATCTCGCGAGGCTTTGGATTCCCCTGTTTCTTTCCTTACCCTGCATGAACAAGTGCACAACAATGATACCAATGTGGAATTGCAGAAACTTATTCAGCTGAAGACAGAACAAGGCGAACTAAGTAGTTCTGATGAGAAAAAGTATAAGACGTTGAAACGTGCCTGTGAAAGAGAAATTTTACAGGTACAGAAAATCAATTATAAATTGAGAGCAATAAAGAATATCGTTTTCAGGAAAATTACTTATATAAATTGTTTTATGCGATAGAATGCCGA